ACATGTATAGTCACCAAAATAAGCCATAGGTCTCTCACTCTTTGGACATTATCATGATTAATTCATTTCCTGCTCATAAACGGTTTATCAGACTGGAGTTGACAGATTAAATACAAGATAACCAGTTACATCTGCATTTCATAAAAACAACAAATAGTTCCTTAGTACAAGTATTTATGGAACACACTTATAGTAAGAAATTATTCATTGTCTATCCAAAATGCAAATTTTTCTTCACTTGTTAAATCTAGCATCCTACCTCCAACCCCACATTAAAAGTTCGATTTTAATAATCAAAACTCTGATTCCAAACACGCGGGTAGTTCTAAAGTGGCTGGGGCACTAAATGGAAGGCCTTCTCGAGAGTAACATATACAGAGGCCATAAACAAATAAACAAATGAAAAAATGACTCTCAACTTTCTTCTTAAGTAAGCGAGGCATCAAATTTGAGTTAACAGTAAATAAAATGTGAGTGTTAGTAGACCTCACTCATACAGAACAGAGAATGTGGTGTGCCTTCTCTGCGGCATGACCAGACAGGAGGCCAATGGAGCTCAATGCTCCCTGCTCCGCATCTCACCCTCCGGACATAAAGTAAATTACAAACCCTTTATCTCTTCCTCCAACTCAGGGCTCACATCTGCTCCCAAGTAATCAGCTTAAGGGAAACCAGATCGTAAACTTAAACTTCCTGACCAAGAAGCAGGAGAATAAATATGGTTCTAGTAAAAACTGCACAAGGCATAAAAAAGCAAAGCTGTGAAAGGGAAAAATTACTCTCTTCGGAAGGCAATCTTGTTTTGATAATGGCAACACAATCTTGCTTCTTTGGGGCTCACACTATTTTTTCTTAATTTTAGCTTTATTGAGGTAAAACTGACAAACAAAACTGCAAGGTGTTGAAAGTATACTTCATGATAATTTGATGAACATTTACATTGTGAAAGGATTTCCCCCATCTAGTTAGTTAGGGGCTCAGACTTTAAATATGCAAGCTCTGTTTTGTTTTTCAGGGAGGGTTAAACCTATAATTCACTAGAGAAAATATATATTTGTATAAATCCCCTATATATGTATAAATAATCCTTTTATATATTTTTCAGTGAAGATACAAATAGAGTACATCCCAAGATAAGTTTAAATAATAATGGAAGGCATATTCAATTTTTAAATAACTTGTAAAATTAATTACCATACTCTAGGCTGATTAACTCAATTCTTGCTGAGAAAGGGCAGCAGGAAATCCTATTCAACTGTAGTCAATACTGCTCTGTCAGAAGCAGCAGAATAAGGTAGACTAAAACAAGATATTTATAGCTGTTGGCTAAGAAAAATTAAATGTATGGGCTAGAAGTTTCCAATGATAAAAATAAATCCAGGTTAATTCATTAACTTATTGGTACACTCAGCAAAAGTTTATTGAACATTCCTTTTATCCAAGATACCTTGCAGTATAAGCCTTAAAAAGTGAGCTGAATTCATACACTGCCTCCAGGATATTACGATCCAGCCATAAGACATATAAGACAACAAATATATAAACAGTTTATATATATATAAACATATATATAAAAAGACAACATATATATAAACAGGTCCAAAGAAGTTACGTAATTAAATGCTAAAATGTGTGTCAGGAGTTGCAATTTCAGTTAGAAGCCAGAGAAAGATTAATTCACTGTAGTGTAAAAATGAATTTCTATTTTCTTGATTTGACACACAAGAAGGGTATCACTGGGGGCGCATGGTGGGCTCAGTGGGTTAAAGCCTCTGCCTTCCGCTCAGGTCATGATCTCAGGGTCCTGGGATCGAGCCCCGCATCAGGCTCTCTGCTCAGCAGGGAGCCTGCTTCCCCCCTCTCTCTCTGCCTGCCTCTCTGCCTACTTGTGATTTCTCTCTCTGTCAAATAAATAAATAAAATCTTAAAAAAAAAAGAAGAAGAAGAAGAAGGGTATCACTGGAGGGAAGAGCCAAATGCCCCCACACAGTCTGCCCAGGCTACAGAGAAGAGGGCTCCCCACTGCCACTGTGGGAAGAACCCAAAGCCTTTCCCTTTCCATGCAGGCTTAAACCATTGTCATGGGGGAATAAAAGGGTAGAAGAGGACAGACACGGGAGATGTTAGTGTAACTATGGACATTGCTTCTCTTAGGTGAAGTGTGAAGGAACAGAGAGAAAGGAACAATAGAGTGATCCTCCTTTCTCAGTCTCTCGTTCCCTTTTCATTCTTTCCACACATATTTTTTAGAGTTTACTACATGCCAACAACCATTCCAGGTGCTATGTACACCACAGTGAACAAGATAAATTCCTGACCTTCATGAAGCCTATTCTACCAGTGGGAGACAATAGTTGTGTGTGTGTGTGTGTGTGTGTGTGTAAGAGGGAGAGAGAGAGTATGTGTGTGTGTGAGAGAGAGAGAGATTGTGTGTGTGTGTGTGTGTGTGTGTGTGTGTGTAATGACAATTATTTTTCTAGATACTCTGAAGAAAAATAAGACAAAGTTAGGGGGCAAAAAATTATGGGTGGGGTGAGGGATGCTGTTTTAGATAGGATGTTTCATGTAAGCCTCCCTAAAGAAATGACTTTTGACTTGGATGAAATGAGTGAGAAACCCATGCAGACAGTTCAAGGAAAAAGCATTCCAAGCAGAGGAAGGAACAAATGCAAAAGTCTTAAGGAGTGGGTGAAGTGGAGGAGGCAAGGGGAGAATGATGGAAGACAAAACCACAGACCACATAAGGGGCCTGTTGGCCATGATGAGGACTTTGTTTTTCTTCTAAGATAAAAAGCTATTGGAGGGCGCCTGGGTGGCTCAGTGGGTTAAGCCTCTGCCTTCAGCTCGGGTCATGATCCCAGAGTCCTGGGATAGAGCCTCACATCGGGCTCTCTGCTCAGCGGGGAGCCTGCTTCCCCCTCCTCTCTCTGCCTGCCTCTCTGCCTACTTGTGATCTCTGTCTGTCAAATAAATAAATAAAATCTTAAAAAAAAAAAAAAAGCTATCAGAGAGTTGTGAACAGAGGGGTGAGTGGCATAATGACCTCTGGCTGCTATGTTGACAACACACTGTAGACTAGTGAGGGTAGATGCATGATGGCCTTGCTGGGCTTTTGCAGTAATTTCTGCAGTGACAGAAATGTCAAGATCTTGGGAGAAGCAGTGGAAATGGTCAGAGATGGTTTTTATCCTATATAAATTTTTTCAAAGTAGAACCAAGGAGATTCACTGAAGAATTAGATGTGGGAATGAGAGAAAAGAATTAAGGGTCACTCCATAGTGTTTAGTCTGAGCATCTCGAAGAGTAAAATTGTTAGGAACTGAGATGGAAAAGACTAAGAGAAGAGCAGATTTGGAAGAGGGAATCAAGAGTCTGGTTCCTAGAGATTATTGCCTATTTCAAAACCCTTACATCTGTTGTAAAACCAAAGCAACAGAAATTGGGAAACTGATCTTAAATTTCATATGAAAATTCAAGAGACCTAGAATAGCCAGAACAATTTCAAAAAAAGAAGAGCAAAATGGGAGGACTCACACTTCCCACTCTCAAAACATACTACATAACTACAATAATAAAGACAGTATGATACTAGCATAAGGATAGACAAATAGATCAATGAAGTAGAATTAAGAGGAAGGAAGGAAGGAAGAAGGGAGGGGAGAGAAGAGAGGAAGAAAGAGAGGGAGAGAGAAAGAAAAAAGAAAGAAAGGGGGAAGAAGGGAAGGAAGGAGGAGGGAGGAGGAGGAAGAGGGAGGGAGGGAGGAAGAAAGAAAGGGAGAGGGAGGGAGCAAGGGAGAGAGAGAAGGAAGGAAAGAAAGAAGAAAGGCTGAGATAGCTAAATGAGTAGGCTTCAGACATGAAAATAAAATAAATTCATGATTTAAAAAGAAAGAAAGAAAGAAAGAAGAAAGTAGGAATGAAAACCAACATAAAATACAAGAAAAAAATTATCTTTAGTCAAGTGCTTTCAGTACTTTATGAACCTTTCTTAATCTCTAACCATCTATAGAACCCTATTTTACAGATTGTTTTGCCCCTAAAGCAAGTTTTTAAAGAGGCCAAAAAAAGGGGGGGTAGGAACAATGGACCACCAATAAATTAAAAAAGCAATAATTACAGAAAACTTACAGGACGTTAACACTACTTCCCCTCCCAACATCTAAGTGAAGAACCAGCCAAAAAGCGAGAATCCATGGAGTAGGAAAAAACAGCTGTTACCCCACTGAGGTAAGGAAGAGGACCCTGTGGCAGAACATTCTGTGGCCATGTGGCCTAGGTGGCCAGCAGAAGTCAAAAGCTGGGAAGATAAAATCAAGGGCTCACAAGATATCCTTCTCCTGAGGCCTGACTTGGCCTAATTGCTGATCTACTGAAACAGAGACAAGGATTTGGCAATAGTTCCCAAACCTGCCTCCACATCAGCCCTACCACCCGTGGAGATCCAGGGGCCGGCTGCCCGGTTGGGTTTCCTGCCTGACTGACAGGGTAAGGGAGCACCCTCGCTCACCCAGCCAGTTTGCCGTCAGGACCCTTATCAACAAGGATGTAAAGACGTTAAGTGAATAAACTGAGAACCACAGGAGGGAGGAATGAACGATGGGCCAGTGCCGGAGGTCTGGGACCTTCCTCCTCTCCTGCCAGGGAAGTTTCTTCCCCCCACCGCCCTCCCCGACGGGGACCCAAGTGCCTAGATGCCCCCCGGAGGGGACCTCAGCCCAGTCCCAAACCTGGAACTGCTAACCGGCACCCCGCCCATGCCGCCCCCCAGCCCCGGCGGTTGTCCCCGTGGGTCTGCGCTGAGGGACTCGGGGGGCAGAGCAACTTTTCGGGCGGGCTCACTCGCGCCGAAGCTGGGCGAGGACTCGCCGCCTCCCCTGCTAGCCCCAGGGCCAGCCCTGCCAGTCGCCCGCTAGCGCCCTGGGCTCTCCGGGCTGGAGCGGACCCCACCGGCCGCCGGAGTCCGGCCGCCGTCCCACGCCCTCCGCAGCCGCGGGGCTCACCTGGCTGGAGCTCGCTGTCCCCGCGCCGCTGTGCTTGCGCGTGCGCCGCGTCCACGGGTTGCCGGTCCTTTTTGGGTCCTTGGCGGGTATTTTCCGTCTGGCCCCACATCACTTCCCGTAAAGGAGAGCGAGGTGGGGGCGGGACCTCCTCTCTACCCTCCACCTCCCGCTTCCTCCGGTCACCTCAGGGAGCACCCCGCCCGACTCCGCGAGGGCGCCTTGCGGACGCCTCCTCGCTCCCAGCTCCGGGTCCCGCCGCACCTGCCGCGGGTCCTCTTGTGAGCCACGAAAAGGCTCCCGCACGCTTCCTTTGGCCTATTATCAGGTCTCCATGGGCCTTTCCTGGAAAGTGTGAAACCTTAGAGACTTGTTTTCGCGTGGAGACACAGACGTGACATTTCCAAACTTCTCCAGGATCCGTGACCTGCCAGGTGTGGTTTGGGGACTCTGGCCAAATCTCCTCCCGCAAAGGCCATGTTCTAAAGGTATTTTCCAGGGCATCAGATCACTGCCTCCGCCGCAGGAGCCAGGGGTGGTGAGCAGCTGCAAAGCCCGGCCCACCCAGGGCTCCTGGGGCCCCGTACGCTCCTTCCTGCTGCAGGTCCTCTCTGGTCCGGCTCCCTAGGAGCCGGCTCCGCGCCGAACGTCGGGCTCTGCCACTGTCCGGCCGACCTCGCCAGCTCCTTCCTCACTCGGATGCGCCTGGGCCTGGCCTTCCAGCTCCGGAATTCTTGGAAATGACAGGAGGGAAGAAAAGTAAAATCCTGGCAGGAAAAATGTATTTCTGAGAGGAAATAAACGGGGTCTCTGCTCATATAGGGTAGTTCGGTTTAGAGAGTTATTCCAAATTTCTAAAAGACGGCAATTCGTTTAAAAAAGAGAGAGAGAGAGAAGGCAAAAAGGCAGCAAGATTAAAAAAAAACAAAAAAAACAAAAAAAACAAAAAAAACTGCTTTGAGGAGACATCTGCGAGCCTTTGCTGCCCCCCAGCGGCTTCCTTCTCTCAGCGCTGAAGGGTACCTATACGTCCGCTTGGAGCTGCAGCTGTGAAGGGGGTTCAGGCCACCAGGTTACCACTCAGAGCCAGACAAATTTCTCTTCCGGTGGCCTCGAGGTATGGACAATAGCCTTTGGCCTTGCTTCTGTGGGCTCCCAGCCAAAGCACGTCTGAAGCAAATAATTCTACATCTAAGAGCAAAAAATGATTGAAAATCCATTAATCTGGCTTCTCTTACCGTCTACTTCCACCACAAATTCCAGCGGCCCCAGGCCCATGCCCCCAAACCCATTATACTTCGAGTTTGCAGCTACTCACAGTTTATGCTACAATACAATTAGCTTCTCAAATATGTGTCCAATTTACAAAATCACAGAGCATAAACATATGAAATTGTGAAATACTGAACATGCATCCAATCTAATATTTATAGGGAAATAGAGTAATCTCAAGAGTTAGAGATAACAGATTTCAGCAGGGTGATAGTGTCAAGGATGTTCCCCAGCTAAGAAAGGCCATCAGACTGTTGTTGGTGGAGGCTAGCAGGAAAAGTAGCCCCAGGTTCATGTGTAAAGGAACAGTCCTGGGATTTACTGATAAGCTAATAGTTGGGGGCGAACAATGAAGCAACTGTTAGTGGCTGATATGATACGAAAGACTTCCCCTTCAATCTTCCCCACTCCTGAAGGGGACTGTAACCATGAGCTTACCAAGCAGATCAAAGAACAGACAATGGTAACGTGGCCCATTCATTATCCTTTCATTCACTGAATGAGTCCAAATTAGGATAGTACTAGGGATGGAATAGTGAACAAGGTAAATTGGTCCCTACCCTCAGGAGCTTGACAGACCAGCAAGTAAGCAGTTAATTTCAATGTGGTGACATAAGATCATCAATAAGGGAAGTAAACGTGTTATTGGAACACAAGTGACACCAAATCAAGACTTCCCAGAGAAAGTGATGTATACATTAAGAAGGATGAATAAGGCAGAAGATGAGGGAGAAGAGAATTCTAAGAAAAGAGAGCAGAGAAGAGGCTTGGAACCAAAAGACACTATCCTATATTAGTTCAGAAAAGCTGAAAAACTGAGTAGAAGGAAGCAATCAGGGAAGAGACTGGAGGAATGGCAGAGGCTGGATTTTGAAGAACTCTGGAATGATTATAATTTATTGACCACTTACTATGAATCAGCCAATATGCTAAGAAATTTGCATATATCCCCTCATATACCTCTCACAAGTGCCCTCTGAAATAAGTACTATTCCTGTCTTTGTATTACAAATAAGGAAACTGAGCCTGAAAGCAATGAAGCAACCTGACCGAGATCATACAGCTCAAAGTGGCACAGCCAGAACTAGAACTTAGAACTCATTTTCTAAATGCCTATTAAGGTTAAGAATGGGTTTCAGAGACCAGTTAGCATGCTGAAATCCAAGTAAGGAATAACAACAATCTGGTTTAAGACCATGACCATGAGGATGAAGATGAATAAACAGATTTGAGATATTTAGGAGAGTAAATCAAGACATGATTGTAGGTGGTGAGGGAGACAGAGAAATCCATGAAAATGCCTGTTTCTGATTTGGGCAACTTGAAACCCTTGAGCAAAAGGAAGAGGGCCCTGTTGCAACAGGGTGAAATAGACCACAAGGAACAAGTTTAGACATTTTACCTTTGACATATCAGAGCTGGGAGAACATACAAGTGAAACTGTTCAGCATGCAACTCAACAGGCTGATCTGAAGCACAGAACACAAGGACAGAAGCTATTGCCCAAGAGGTACTCAAAGACATGAAAGTCAATGAGCTAGTCTAGAAAATGTACTAAAAGGGCAAAGAGGGGGCTTGGTACAAAACCCAGAGGATCACTCAGTTAATGAAGTCTGAGAAAAGAGTGCCCAGAGAAGTAGGAAGAAAACAAAGAGAAAAAGTTATGACAGAAACTAAATATATTGAATATATCTTGTATACCAATTCAAAATCCTCTCTACACCACTTCTTACTCTAGTCACAGAACTGGTCACAGTATAACCTTGCTTCCTACTCTGGGTCTTTTCTGACACTGCAGGCTGTTGCTTGAAACATTCACAGTCCCACTCCAGTATCACTTAATGGGGTGGAAACTGGAAATATCAGTAAGAACTCATGATTTTTAATATGTAAACTAGATAGGAATAGAATTATATATTAATATGCATGTATGTATGTACTTTCCAGCAATGTCTGCTAAGAGATCCTAAAAGCAACTATATCACAGTAGTTATGAATACATTAGCATGCAGATTTTGATTTCTAAATAGCCTTCTAGAATAAAAGCAACAGGCACATGATTATATCTAAAATATCTACAAAAAAACTATTAGAGCTAATAAATAAGCAAAGATCAGGATACAGGATCAGTTGTATTTCTACGCATAGGCAGTAAATAATCTGAAAAGGAAATTAAGGAAAAACCCCTGCTTGAAATAGCATCAAAAAGAATAAAATACTTAGGAATCAATTTAACCAAGGAGGTGCAGGGTTTATACACTAAAAACTACAAAACACTACTGAAAGAAATGAAAAGAAATGAAAGAAGACTTAATAAAAGATAGTCCATGTTCATCTTTACCTAATATTATAAAGATAGCAATATGTCCCAAAGCAATCTACATATTCAACACAATCCTTATCAAAATTAACTTTATCAAGATTTTGTGCAGGGATGTAAGAGTTGATCCCAAAATTCATGTGAAATTGCAAAGCACCTGAAATAGCCGAAAACTCTTGGAAAAAAAAAAAAACAAAAGAACATTGATGGACTCACTTTCTGATTTCAAAAATACAAGATGCAGTAATCAAAACAGTGTGGTATTGACATAAGAATAAACATGTATTTGAAAAGAATTGACATTAGAGTCCAGAAATGAACTCAAATCTGTGGTCAATTGATTTTCAACAAGAATGCCAAGAGTATTCAATGAGGCAAGAAAAATTTCTTCAATAAAACTGGTTATTCACATGCAAAAGAATAAAGCTGGACCCTTATTTCACACCACATATAAAAATTAACCGAAAATAGATCAAAGACCTAAATTGCAACCACTAAAACTGTAAGACCTGTAGAAGACAACAGGCAGAAATCTTCACTACCTTGGATTTGGCAATGGTTTCTTACATGGCAGGTATAAGAAATGAATAAGTTAATTAGACTTTATTAAAATTTTAGTATTTTATCAAAGGACACAAGAGAGTGGAAACACAACACACAGAATGGGAGAAAATATTTGCAAATTATGTATCTGATAAGAATATAGTATCAGAACATAATAGAGTTCTTACAATAAAAAAGACAACTCAATTAAAAAGAGGGCAAAGGACTTGAATAAGTTTTTCTCCAAAGAAAATATAAAAATGGTCAATAAGCACACAAAAAGGGGTGCCTGGGTGGCTCAGTGGGTTAAAGCCTCTGCCTTCAGCTCAGGTCATAATCTCAGGGTCCTGGGATCAAGCCCCGCATCGGGCTCTCTGCTCAGCAGGGAGCCTGCTTCCTCCTCTCTCTCTCTGCCTCTCTGACTACTTGTGATCTCTATCAAATAAATAAATAATCTTAAAAAAAAAATAAGCACACAAAAAGATGTTCAGTGTCATCAGTCATTAGGAAAATACAAATCAAAACCATAATTACTCTTTCACATCTATAAATCTGGTCATAACTTTTTTCAAAAAGAAAAGAAAAATTATAAGTGTTATACGTGAGGATATGGAGAAATCGAAACCCTATACATTGCTGTGGAAATGTAAAACGATGTAGTCACTTTGGAAAGCAGTTTGGCGGTTCTTCAAAATGTTAAACAGAATGACCATATGATCCAGCAAGTCCAGTGTGATCTTGGATTAGTTCCCAGACCAGGAGAAAAAAAATTGTCTATTGATCTGAAGGACACCAGTAAGACTTGGTAAAATTTGGATAAAATCTGAGATTAGATAATATTGTGTCAATTTTAATTTCCTGATCTTGATCATTATATTGTAATTATGAAAGACAAGGAGTTTGCAGGAATTACACACTGAAATATTTAGTAGTAAAAGGGTATCATGTGGCAACTCACTCTCAGAGGGTTTAGAAAAACAATGTGGTGTGTTCATGTGTAAATATACATACACAGAGAAAGATTAAAGCAAATGTAGTAAAATGTTAACATTTGTGGAATCTTATATAAAAAGTTTGTACTGTTTTTGCACCTTTCTCCAAGTGTGCAATTACTTCACAATAGTTTAAAAAAAAAAACTTTTGAAAGTCACTTTAGCAAGTCCCATTGGATCAAGTCTAGTGGCCCACTTAAAAGCCTATTATTTTCTTGGCTTCCGCTCTCACTTTTTTTACTCCCACTATCTGCTCTCCTGATCTTAAGAGTTAGAATGGATTTGTGCTGAGATTGGAAAAACAGCCACCCGATTGTTACATGGAAAGCCCTGATGATATTCCTTTCACTGAGGCACTGGTGAGGAGGCCACCGACATCTCCGAAAAGCTCCACGGTGGTTGCCCTTTATAGGCTGGGATTGACAGTTGAAGATACTGCTGCAACAGGTCTCCCTAGCATCAGCTAGAAATAAAAGGATCCCCACTCACTAAAGCTACAGGTATTCCCTGTCCCCAGTACTTGTCCCAGGCCTTGCTAAAGCCTGCAGGTAAGCACCCTCCACACACGGGATGCCTCTGGATGAGTTGGCTCTGGTGGCCAGAAGGGCTAGCTCTGGTGGACAACAAAGCTTGACTGGGCACCAAAGTACTGTAACAATTAGAAAGGTATTTTGGGGCAGGCCACTATATCGCGGGCATCTCACAGACTGCCAACTGAAACACACCCCCAGTCTGTCTATGAACAAGGCCCATTTACTTGCTCTGTAACTATAACCTGATGGACAGACTTTAGTTTTGTCAGATATGTGCAGACTGCAGAGGCACTACTCAGAATGTAGCCAGGGAAACACATCTTTGCATCCCCCCCTTGGCCTCATCGCAGCTTACTGGTATCTCTCAGAAAGTAGTTGATACACTCACCTAAAGTCCCAATTGTTACAACTTTTACCAAGAGGACACCTCCAGATCTCCTGGTCTATAGATCAGCAGGGTCTACAATTGTGTGCCCACAGGACTATATATATTTACATAAGTTAAGAGCTGCTGCCCAAGGATTTGGCTTCCACTTAGCCTGAACCCAGGTACTGACTGAGATCACAGGTCTCAGAACACCATCCACAGCTGGGATCCATTCACGAACAAATCAGTCTACTTAGACAATCACAAATGTTCCAAAGACAAATAAGAGCTAGGGCAAGGTTGAAAAATAAGGTTCATCTCCTACATAAGACCACTCCTTCAAGACTGGGAGAAGTAGCTGTTTTGCACTATACTTAGAAACAAACATGGAGAGTCAAGGGTAATGAGGAAACAGAAAAACAGGTTAAAAAAAAAAAAGAAGAGCGAGAACAAGACAAGTCAGAAAAAGACCTTAATGAGATGCAAAAAAAAAAAAAAAAAAAAAGGTAATCTGCCTGGTAAGAGTTCAAAGTAATGGGTATAAAGATGCTCCCCCAAACTCAGGAGAACAATGGATGAATACAGGGAGAACTTCAACAAAGAGACAGAAAATATAAAAAGGAACTAAACAAAAATCACAGAGCTGAAGAACATAACTGAACTGAAAAATACACAGTACCATTCAACAGCAGGCTAGATGAAGCATAAAAAATGGATCAGCAACCAGGAAGGAAGACAGGGCAGTGGAACTCAAACAGAGCAACAAAAGAAAAAAGAAATTTAAAAAGAGAAGATAGCTTAAGAGACTTATAGAACAACATCAAGGAGAATAATATTAGTAGCATAGGGGTCTCAAAGGGGAATAGAGAAAAAGGGCAGGAAATTTATTTGAGGAAAATAATGGCTTAAAATTTCCCTAACCTGGGGAAGGAGACAGATATCCAGGTACAGAAAGCAAGGAGAGCTCCAAACTAGATTAATCCAAGGAAAGCCACATCAAGACACATTATAATTAAAATGTCAAAAGTTAGGTTGCCTGGGTGGCTCAGTGGGTTAAAGCCTCTGCCTTCGGCTCGGGTCATGATTCTGGGGTCCTGGGATCGAGCCCCGCATCGGGCTCTCCGCTCAGAGGGGAGCCTGCTTCCTCCTCTCCCTCTGCCTGTCTCTCTGCCTACTTATGATCTCTGTCTGTTAAATAAATAAATCTTTAAAAAAATAAAAATACAATGTCAAAAGTTAAAGAGAGAATCTTAAAAGCATCAAAAGAAAAGTTTCTTATATACAACAGAACCCCTTAAGACTACTGGAAGATTTTTAGCAGAAACTTTGCAGGCCAGAAATGAGGGCCATAATATATTCAAAGTGCTGAAGGAAAAAAAAAAAAATCCAACTAAGAATACCCTGCCCAGCAAAGCTATCATTTGGAACTGAAGGAAAGATAAAGACTTTTTCCATATAAACAAAAGCTAAAGCAGTTCATCACCACTAAACCAGCTTTACAAGAAATTTTAAAGGGACTTCTTAAAAAATGCACTAATAACAAAATATAAAAGTAAAAATCTCACTGGTGAAGGCAAATATATAGTAAGGGTAGGAGAATAACCACTTATAAAGTTAGTATTAAGGTTAAAAGACAAAAGTAACAAACAACTATAATTACAATTGGTTAACAAATACACAAAATAAAAAGATGTAAAATATAACATCAAAAACATAAAACATGGTGGGGGAATAAAAATGTAGAGGATTAGAATGTGTCAAAAATTTAAGTTACTATTTACTTAAAATATGCTGTTAAATACATACGCAGTTATATATAAACTTCACGGTAACCACAAAGGAAAGACCTATTGTAGATATGCAAAACATAAGGAGAAAAAAAAAAAAAAAAACCCTAAACAGAACACTAAAGTCAGTCATCAAACCACAGGGAAAAGAGCAAGAGAAGACAAAAGGAATAGATGGGAAATATAAAAACAGATGGAAAACAAAATGGTAATAAGCAGATACCTACCAATAATTACTTTAAGTGGACTAAATTATCCTATCAAAAGACATAAAGCAGGTAAATAGATTAAAAAACAAGGCTCATCTATATACTGCCTAAAGGATACACTCTTCAGAAGTTAAAGACACACATAGACTGGAAAGGGAAATATTCCATGTAAATGAAAATGAAGAGAAAGCTGGTGTAGCTATACTTATATCAGACAAAACAGACTAAAGACTATAAAAGACAAAGTAGAGCATTACATAGCAAAAAAGCAGTCAATCAAACAAGAGAATATAAAAATTATAAATATTTATGCATCCAACATAGGAGCACCTATATAAGACAAATATTAACAGACATAAAGAGAGAAATTATTCACAATACAGTAATAGTAGTGGATTTTAACACCCCACGGACCTCAATGGATAGATCATCTAGAGAGAAAATCAGTAAGAAAACATTGCCCTTAAACAACACATTAGAGCAGATGAATTTACTAGAAAAATACGGAATATTCAATCCAAAAGCAGCAGAATATACATGCTTTTCAAATGCACATAAAACATTCTCCAAGAAAGATCACGTTAGGCCACAAAACAAGTCTCAACAGATTTAAGAAGACTGAAATCGTATCAAGCATCTTTTCTGATCATAATGGCATGAAACTAAAAATCAATTACAAGAAGAAAACTGAAAAAAAAAATCACAAATATATAGATTAAACAACATGCTATTGAACCATCAATGGGTCAACAAAGAAGTCAAAGAAGAAATCAGAAAATATCTTGAGGCAAATGAAAATGTAAATATAACAATGCAAAATCCATGGGATGCAGCAAAAGATGTTCTAGTAGAGGAGTTCATAGTGATACCTGCCTATCTCAAGAAACAAGGAAAATCTCTAACTTCACATCTAAAGGAACTAGAAAAAGAATAAAGCCCAAAATTAGTAGAAGTAAGGAAATAAGATCACAGAAATAAAATAGAAACTAAAACTAAAATTTAAAAAATCAATTAAACTGGTTCTTTGGAAGGATAAACAAAATTAACATTTTGCATTGTTATATTTACATTTCATTTGCTACTTGAGGGGCATTCTGCCTGAGGTACTTGACTTGATTCACTTCATCTATAAACAGTACTATAAACACCATTTCCAGCTAGTTTATAAATAGAGTCTTGTCATCCCTTGATCCTGTTTATGCTGCATTCCCAGAAAAATAAACATCAACTGGGAAACAAAAATTCTTTAGACATTTATTTTAGTTTTTAAAAATGACAAAATTAAACACTAAAATTGACAGTGCTTGTTTTAAAATCATTACCTATGATTTGCGTTTAAAATATACTTGAGAACTTTTTACTAGATTATTTATACTCAATGCATAATTTCAATAGAACTTTAAACAACTACAGTTTAACTCCATGTAGTATTAACTTTTCTTCTCTTCTGATTCTTGTGCCAATTTCAACTTTTCTTTTAATTCCATCTGATCTCGGTAATATTGTTCAAATATTGGTTGATAAATATACATCCCTCCAGCAATTCCAAGGATGCTAGCAAAAAGCAGTTGTGGAAGAGTCAATCTCCCAAACATTTTTCAACAAATGCCATACAGTGCTTTTGCCACACGGTGGTTTTGAAAAATTACAGTCAACATCCAGGAGATATCTTCAGATCTGTGTACATAGAAAATAGAAAGCAAACCAATAACTCAGCATGACATCCTTTTAAGATTCCATGTCACTACTTTGTTCCAGAGTGAACAGTATTTTCATCATATATAAATATCACTTGATTTAACTAAAATAGGAATATAAAAACACAGAATATGACAAATGGGTTATGGGATGGTGTTAAAGTGAAATCCTACTACAGAATTTTCTCAACGGTTTTAAATAAATAATTCTTAAAACGACAAAAGTGAGGGAGAGGTTAGGAAGAGGCATGCTCTTGTCACCTTTACATACCATCATAAAACTATCAACTAAATGAAACAGCTGCCCCCAAAAGTTGAAAGTGGTTGGCAATCCAATCTGGAAGTAAAAGAAAGAGAACTGTTACTTTTCATTATTAGCCCTTTTTTATTTATTTCATGTTTTTTGGCAATATGCATAATTAAAAACAATTTTTAAAACAGGCTAAAGGATTTTATGAGTTCCCTTTGATGCTTTAGAAGGTACAAGTAGACATCAAATATATGTAAATAACTTCCCATCCACTTTTGATAAAAATATAAAGAGATCTGACTGATTCTACTTTTAATAACTGAGGAGTAAAGACTTCAGTATTTCTCAGAAAGTTATATTTGTGAACACCATAGTCTCTGGAGAAAACAGAGTTTATGAAAGAGGAAAGCAGAATAACGAATTTACATGTTTGCTTATAATGTAACAGTCTTTCACCGTCTCCTAGACAGGCCCCCGAGGTTACAAAAATCATTAGTGGCAGAACCGGTCCTAGAAACTAGGTTGTCCTTAACATCGCTAAAAAGTAATTTAAACTAATATGGGAAAGAAATGCCTGATTGCTCTTGGACTCTACGATTAACTAGATAAATGACAACTTATCAAGCATGCTACGGTTCATCGCCTGCGGAAGGACGGAGGGAGGGAGGGGGTTTTTTGCAAGTAGGCTCCTTGGAAGATAAACCACATTAAATGGGAAGGATCCCCTTTTGCCTCTAGTTTGCTAAGTGACCCTACCCTGACCGAGTCACTTAAGTTTCCGAACCTCATTTTCTACATCTGTACAAGAGCTTAAATCAGCCCTACTCCGCCTACCTCGTCCAACAGCTAATGTGAGACCACCCAAACAGTGAAATGTTACACAAACACGTTTGCAATTATCATTACTACTATCGTTGCCACTTAAACACCTCCGACCCTTGGGCTGTCGCTTCGCGTCGCTGACCCCGCCTCCCGTCTGCCCAAGACTAGGAGAGTTCTGGCTCCTTCCAGCAGTTTCCGGAAAACAGGGCGCAGAGACCACGAAGCCAAAGGCGGACAGCAATCTCAGGAGAAGAAGCTAAAGAAAAAGCGCAGACCCGCTCGCGACAAAGCCTACCGGTGCCAAACAAACCTGCAGCACTCGGCGGCAGACACAAACTGCGGGGGTCCGTGCGAGAAAGCGGCCTTTTCCCAGATACCTCCGCGCCTGCGAGCGACGGCTGCTGCAGAGGTCAAACTTAGTGAGCGGAAGAGCAACGCGCGTTTCTCCAACTCCCGTCTCGAGACCTCCTCGTAGGGACTGAGGTGCCTAGGGATCCTCAGCCGACCTCGAAGGAGGTGCAGGATGAGGCAAGAGGGGGACGATAGCCGACTCTTTTTCCGCGGCTTCCAGAACCGCTCCCAGGAGAAGATGAAGCTGCGAAAGAGAAAGTCAACTTTGTACCTCAGCCCCCGGAAGAGCCCCTTGCGCCACGGAGGTGAGGGGGTGGGGGCGGGGGCGTGGCGCGGACGCCGAACTCCCAGGCGGAGGCGGGAAGCCCCGGACCCTGAGCTAGGGCTCCATCTGCTGGGCGGGGTTGCCAAGAAATCGTAGTGCACTCGAGACCGGATTCTCGGTTCGTGCCACTTGCAGGGCCCTTTATTCTGCACTGGTTAGTTCTGCCGCGGCCGTGCGGAGCGAGTGGACGTGACGTAGCCATCCGCATTTTAGAAAAACACCCGGGCTGGGACTTAACCTGAGATCTCACAGCTACGGAGGGACTGGTTCCTGGGGTTGAACCGGGTCCGACTGCCACCCCATTTATTTTTCCCACCCTCGCCTTCTCTCTGGTCCGGTGTGATGATGTTGACAGGAGCAAAATCACCCCAGCAAGTGGACTTTTGATCTGTTAGACGGGGGTATTTACTATAAAGAGGGACTTCTCATTCATTCAGTAATTATGTATTGTGCGCCTTGCATGTGCGGAGCACTGTCTAAGCGGCATGAAAAGCAAGCCGAGTTTCCCCCTGGAAACCTGCGACCAAGAAAGGAGAGAGTCGTTTTGCTAAATGGAGGAGGATTGTGATGGGGGGTTGGGGGGGGGGAGAGTTAGCTGGGCCCGAGTTCTGTCGCTCTTTTCCCCTAATCCTGCCTTTGTTAGAAGTTGGATCTCTGAGGGTAAAGGTTAGTAACGACGGTCAATTACCATACTGGTCACAGACCAATAGTAGAACTTTTGGGTGATTCAAGATCATTTGTTCAGGGGCCCGCTCTGAGTTCTGCACCAGTCCACAGAGTAAAAGGGTTTTTCTTTCAGCAGATATAGTTCAGTCGGGGTGTTTCTTTAGGTGCTTCTGAAAGATGAAAGTTGAGATGGGGCATGTGTGGTGTGTTGAATGTGCCAATCGTCTGAAAAATATTTAAATATGTTCCCAGAGAATAAGGAAGGAGAGTGGCAGGAACTAGAACTATATAGCAAAAGACTCAAAATGGATCACAGGGCAAACACAATTACTCAGGAGGCCAAACAGGCAGGTCTGAATAAATTAAAGCCCCTTCTCTTAAAAACCAACTAGGTATTGCCAGTTGAGCTTTGTTGTCAGATCTTGGTTGTGAAATGCTGCAAATCTTTTATATTGAAAAAGATTTTAATACAAAGTCGGATTTTTAAATGTTGACAACTAAATTCACATTTAAAAAAATACTCTGTATGCAGCTGGTGGGCTGTCCAGTTGTGGCAAAGAACAGGGCTTTGGAGGCAGCAGACAGACCTCGTTTTGAATCCCATTTAGTCATTTATAACCTTTTTTGACTTTGGACAAGGCAGGTTAACTTCTTAGTCTCAATTTCCTCATATGTGAATGGGGCCAGTACCTACCCTTTAGCGTGATTTGGAGGATCAAATGAGATAAGGCATGTGAAGGAATGAACTCAGCGCCTTGCATAGAGTAAGCATCAATAAGGATTATTTAAAAACATGCAGAGGACCAGCAGTTTGATATGCCACTGTTTGACATACATAGGAAGAGTTGATCCTAAGTAATTTGTTAGCTTTCCTTTATAGGCTACCCATATTGTTAGTTCAGTGTTATCTTACTATTCTCCTTATACAATTAATTGCAAGAAAGATTGGTTAAATGAAAGGTGGTAATTTCCCAGTGGTGAGGCTTGGGCCCTTGTATAACTGTCTGCCCAGGTCTGCTTTGAGAGTAGTGCCGACGGGCCAGAGTTCTCTATTGTACCTTCACAGAGTCTGAGCAAGGCGCCAACCAGAGCAGCAGATTTTAGTTCTCTAAGTGGAACTTCCCTGACTTTTGTGCCACGATTACCTGTTTTGTTTTGTTTTTCAGATCTCCTTGGTGAAAACATTTATCTGGTCTTGTTTACCGTAGCATTACGAATATGTAACTGTTTTTTAGTCCAGACAAGTTTTGTTCCAGATGAATATTGGCAGTCTCTTGAAGTTGCACATCACATGGTTTTCAAATATCCTTTGTAGTTTCTTTTCCGGACTAGAAATGTATATTCATTTTAGAAATTGTGCCAGCTCCTCTTATAAATTTTCTATCAATTTTACTAAGTAATTTTACTTATCAAAGTATACCATTATTTTACACTGATATTTCTTCTTTCTTCGATGGTAATATATTTGACTCAACCTTTAACCAGCAGGTATTCCCATAGAGCTCAGTACTGTGGAGGATATAGATGAAGTAAAACACACATTCCATTCTTAAAGAAATTATGAGTTTAATTGGCCAACTGCATTTTTGATTCAAATAACCAGTATAAAATGCTATGATTTTAAGCAGCTTTATCCAAAAAAAAATGGAAATTTTTCATGCACAGAAATTAAAATAGATTTGTTTCAGTGCTGTTTAACATTAGTCCTTAATATTACTAATTATGGTTATTTGACCTGGGAATGGACAGAAAGATTGAGGGGTTACACTTATCCCTTAATCTTTGCAAGCATTTACAAGATCCTGCATCTTTTGGGGAAAGATAGTGTTCAACTGCTGGTAAGTTTAAATAAAAGTAAATTAAAAAGTAATTAAAAGTTGATTTATTCCATCCTTTTTAAAAGGCTAATGTATAGGGGCGCCTGGGTGGCTCAGTGGGTTAAAGCCTTTGCCTTCCGCTCAGGTCATGATCCCAGGGTCCTGGGATCGAGCCCGCATCGGGCTCCCTGCTCAGCAGGGAGCCTGCTTCCTCCTCTCTCTCTCTCTGCCTGACTCTCTGCCTGAGAGAGCTGTCTGTCAAATAAATAAATAAAATCTTTAAAAAAAAAACAAAAACAACAAAAATAAATAAATAAAAGGCTAATGTATATTAACTAAATGACTTTATTGGTATCAGAAGGTTTGTTTTTAAAAAGATATTGTTACTGAACTCTGACCATATCTGGGCAGCCTACAGTTCTGAAAACATACTGCAATGTGTAACCCTTCATTATGTGCTAAAACAAAACTGAACATGAAAGTGTCCTGCTTAAAGGAATCCTGTGAATCCTATTAAGATATTCAGACTTGCAGAATGACTACATTATATATTAATTATTTGGACTTTAGAAGTATTCTTCCTTCATGAAATAATCATGAGAGGAGTGTTGTATTTTGTTTTAACTTGTGAGCAGAAGATCCTGTTATATGAGCTTATGAAGAACACATATAAACCTACTCAGCATTTAGTGTTGAAAATAAATCTTAGAGAAAATTAATTTGATAAGAATTTGATGATATGCACAACCATGTGCTATGTATATACTAATTAGGCAGCAATAGTAAGTAAGGTTGTAATTCCTAGATCATGTACTTCTGGGGTCAGTTGCCAAGAGAGGGTACAAAAGAAATAATGGGACCAAAATTTCCCTAAACTCACTCTCAAGATCTTTTAAGCTGTCCTCAGATTAGACTCAGAAGTTTGGGCCTTCCCCATTTTCTGTTAGGGAAGTAACCCAGAAATCCAAAGGCAGTCCAAACCCTGAGGGTTTCTTAGAACCTGGAAAGACACATGGAAGTATCATGGGGAAGGAAAATTTAGAGCAGCAGCAGCATTTCTTCCATGGACAGATGTTGAACTTAGGGGCTGTGAATTCCCTTGTCCTGAAAGGGTTTCTAGATTATTTGGGGTAACCGTAAAGCCTGGAACCACAGGCAAATATACGTAATGCTATCAAGGATATCTTATATCTCAAGAAGTCATCAAGGATATCTTATATCCTAAGAAGTAGATTATATTGTGAATGAAGGAGTCTTCAAGATAGAAAACTTCCTATTCCTTCAGGACCTATCCACTTCCCTCAACCTCTAGCTGACCCACCTGTGATTTAAAGTAAGCCTCCCCTAGTCCCCATCCTCACCCTACTGTCCCCCCCCAAAAATCTGGAGCTTGACCAGATGGAGAAACTTAAGATGCTATCAGTTAATCATTCATACTGTCATATTATCTTTTTTTTTTAAAGATTTTATTTATTTATTTATTTGACAGAGATCACAAGTAGGCAGAGAGGCAGGCAGAGAGAGAAGCAGGCTCCCCACTGAGCAGAGAGCCCGATGCAGGGCTCGATCCCAGGACCCCGGGATCATGACCCGAGCCGAAGGCAGAGGCTTCAACCCACTGAGCCACCCAGGCGCCCCATCATATTGATTATCTTAAACATAGACCACATGATTTTGAAACTAGAAGGGGTCAGAGAAGTGAAATAAATAGACCAAGGTCACAGGATGTTAAAAGCAAAGCCAAAACTAGATCCTGGGGTGCCTGGGTCGCTCAGTGGGTTAAGCATTTGTCTTCAGCTTGTCTTGATTCCAGGACCCTGGAATCAAACCCCACGTCAGTCTCCTTGTAGGGAGCCTGTTTCTCCCTCTCCCTCTGCCCCTCCCCTCCACTAGTGCACTCTTTCTCTCAAATAAATAAATAAAATCTTTTTAAAAACTTTTTTATTTTTTTAAAGATTTTATTTATTTATTTGACAGAGATCACAAGTCAGCAGAAAGGCAGGCAGAGGGGGGTGGGAAGCAGGTTCCCTGCTGAGCAGAGAGCCTGATTGGGGCTTGATCCCCGGACCCTGAGATCATGACCTGTGCCCAAGGCAGAGGCTTAACCCACTGAGCCACCCAGGTGCCCCTAAAATCTTTTTTTAAAAAAGAAAGAAAGAGAAAGAAAGAAAGAAAGAAAGAAAGAAAACAAACTAGATCTTAGGTCTGCTTATTCATAGCCTAGATACCTTGTCCCCAAACTGCATAAAGTGTGTTTACAGAACTAGTAATGGCTTAGAATTGCACTGTCTAATA